TTTAAGGCATACTTTATTTAGAAACTTTTAAATATATGCATTAATTGCTTTAATATATACACATTTTCAAATCATATATGATAAAAAAGATTCTTTCCTTGAATAATTTTATTATCATATGCAATACTTTTATTGATATTAAACTATAATTTGATTTTTCATAATTGGTGTTGATAATATTTTGTCAACATAACCATGAAAACAAATTTTAAGTTTTAACCATAATATTATTTTTTTTTTCAAAAATGTTGACTTTCATCCTAAAATATTTATAAACAATCGTAGCATGTTAAATAATTCTCCCTCTAACTAATTAGCCGAAATTCAGTTGGTGAATAATAATTTTCGATAATATTTTTTAACCTTTATTTAATTATATAAACAAATAATTTCTTTAAACTAAAATAATTTACCATTTAAGAGATAATGATCACATCATTAAATAATTTATTAACGGCTAAATAATAAAATTAAAATATATTAACTATTCTTTACAGTTTCAATATTTGATTTATTTGTATATTATTGTCAACCACGATAATTTTATCATTTTTTATTTTTATTTGTTTCCATAATGAATTTATTGTAAAATATATATTTATATTGCATAGTATGTTAAATAAACTAATAAAACCTTAGGATGCAAATTAGAAAAATCTCTTCATTATATAAGGGTTTATTATTTGACAATTTGCTAAATCAAATTTTTTTAATTATTATGAGAAATTTTAAAAAACATGTGTGTGTATTTTATAAACATTTATACACAAATTTTATTTTAAACTTCATTACATAAACTAAGAAGAAGTAGACAACTATTATAACCTTTATAAATAATAATATTGACATTATATGACAACAAATATTATAATAAAATATTAATTGAGTATTAAATGGTGAACAAGAATAAGAATATTTTTTTTTTATATCGATGAATAAATATATATTGTAAAATTAAATTTATATTAGTATAATGTGTAAGCAGAATGATATATTAATTAATATATCAACGTTATGACTAAAATAAATATCACTGATTGAAAGAAGTGGAAAACTGATGATGCAACCCTATTATTTTTTGTCAAAATGTACAAGCCCTATAGAAATGACTCAATTAATATATGTGTCCCGTACATCGCACGGGCTATGCACTAGTATATATAATAAGAATTACTATTTGCTAAATAGTAAGCAAAAAAATCTGAGAATTAATTGCATTCTATTTTTAGAATTTTTTTATTTTTTTAATAAAAAAATTAGGTAGCATTTAATGCTACCTTAGATCATGGAATTTGTTATATTTAAATTTCAAAGATTGAAATAAAAAAAATTCATCTTTATTTTATTAACAAATCTATAATAACATATGATATGACAAGGGTAACACGTTAGATTAGGGAATAATTTGAGTATTTGTCTGCAGATAAAGCAATATTAAAGAGATTAAAACCAATTACTTAATTAATTAGTATATGAATAATGAAGATAAATGATTATTCATTTTTTGTTTAATTATATTTATGAATAAAATTTTAATTTTTTGCCAATAAGATTGTGAATGGATATCAAATAATATTACTACAAACCTCACAACTAAAATAATATTATTACACATCTGATATTTTAATTTTCAACCATTTTAAATTAATATTTTATTATTTTATATCATATTAATTTTAATAATTGTATTTTTATTTTATAGTTTTTCATCATTTGAAAATTTTTCAACAAATTAAAAATTTCTGAAATTTCTATATAGATGTATTATATTATATTCCAATGCAGGGAATAATAATTTTTTCTAACAAAATGCTCCAAATTATGTATTTCTACTATTTCATACTAAATGCGTTAGCATTTGTGAGATATACACAAATTCGTATAATATATATCCGTGAAATTGGTAAAGAAAATAAGAATTAATAGATGGATCGGTACACAATATGATAAAAGAGATATAATCAAAATCACTTGACATGCGCTACATTATATATAGACAATGTTGATAGTAACAATATAAAACTAGTATACAAGATATATAGACAATATCTACTATGTAAATATTCATTCTCTCATAAAGTTCAACGTGAGATATTAGATTGTAATACTTATTATTTACTCAAATAATATTTTAGATACTTTTTTTACACATTCAATACTCACACACATAATATTTTAGATACTTTTTAGATTTTTTTTTCCCCATTCTGTACATTAAAGTTTATATCTTTAGGTGTTTTTAGACATTTTGTCTTTACAAAATAGTTTAATGAAAGTTTATGTGACTTAATATTTTTTAAGAATAATGTAGAATATTTTAGATATCTTTACATATGTTATTTTAGGTATTTTTAATACTTTAAACATACATGTTTTGTGTTCTTTTGTACATGATAATTTTATATTGTACAACAAACCGATATACGTAAATTATATCACATTTTAATCCTAAAATATTTAATTTATTATTATTATTTAATGCTATTTACCTGCATCTTTAATTTATAATTATTATTTAATATTATTTTCTCGTGCATTGCACGAGCTACGCACTAGTTATATATAAAGGGATTTCACTCGAGCTAAAGATAATTAAGTAAATTAAATTATACTTGATCATTTCATCGTGCACTTGAACTCATAAAATACAAGTTTGTCTTTGAGTTTGAGGTACTCAGTACTCGACTCGTGCTCGGTGAAACTCGAGCTAGAGCTGAACTTTGATTCAAGTGCTCGCTAGCCACCCAATTAGTTTATTCCTTGGAGTAGCCAACTAGCCATAATTTTGTTGTACAATCTTCACTTCAAAATTTGTTGAGTATTTTATGACATACTAACAAATATCAAGGAGATACTTTTTGGTGTCAAATAATGCTCGGAAATGTCTCAATTTTATAAGAACCGTTCCTTACATACTATCATTTGTCACATCATTCCAGCAAACACCAAATGTAGGTGCAATTCATTTCATTTCATTTGAATGCATATCAAAGAAAGCGCCAAATGAAAGATTGCAATTTTTTGCAGGTTTCCTTTCATGAACCCTCATAATTTTGCCCTTTGAAAAAGTGTTTTTGCCAGATAACTAAATCAAATTGAAGCCACCAACTCATCGGTTGTTAGATTGTGGGGACAAATTCAAGAATGTGATATGGGCCATATGACATTATTGGTTTAGAGGTTGTTTGCCAAAGTTTAGTTCAAAAAATTTATAATTGTGCATTTTGATTTATAAAATTCTTTATCGTTTTAAAAAAAAAATCACATTTTTGTGAGATATTAGATTAATATGCTTTCAAAACGAGATGCACAATCGCATATAGGTTGATGAAGAGCTTATGAAGATTGTTGTATATTAATGCAAATTCGTATTTTATCACACCATTTAAAATTCTCCAAAACACTTAATTACTTTAATATTAAAATACAATCCTAATGTGTTATCACAGTCGGAGAATAACACAATTTTGGCAAAATGTTCCTAATTTTAACGAAGGTGAATTATTTCATTTTATCTTGAATAAGTAATTTATCTTGTCTACTTTTGCAAAACAAATATCAAATAATTGTAAATGAATTTCTCTATTTGTGTAGTTATTTTTATTATTGAATACATTCCAAAAGTAAAATAATATTTTAATCACAATGCTTGTAAAATTGATATTTATTTATTATTTGTGAGATTCTAAGCTCGAGAAACATAAGGTGCAAAGAAAATGACATGAACGACTGGGAGAAAATCGTTTCAATATTTATTTAGTATTAGATACTGACAAATTGGGTTCCAACGGCTGCTATTTGATATACATCAAAGCTGTACCCAATTGAATCATAAATATAGTCAATCATGCGCGTTTCTTTTATTGTTCTTACTCGATAGATTTTTTAAAGTGCATATATGATATATTTTTTGGTTCAAGTAACATTTTTGTAAAACAAAATATTGTTGCTTTTGTTGTTTTAAGTAATTTTAATACTATTTAACCACAATTTGAACTTTTATATTTCTATGTATCAAATTATTTCACTTTAGTGAAATAGAGAAGAGTAGTGTCACACTAGTCACTGCACAAGTATTGGCATCACGTTTTGTTTATAAGAATTAATGTTAAATAATTTGAAATTTTGAATATTCAACTGCAAATGTTTGAAGATTGAGCGAGAATAGTGATAATAGAAAAAAAAAAAAAAAATGTATTTTTTATAGGCTACTTCGCGATTAAGTGATTTTACAACGAGAATTGAGTTCAATGAGTGGTGTTGAGAGTTATTAACTAGTTCGGAATAATTGATATTGCCTCAGACCGGTCTAACAACTTATTCGGTGAAGAATGGAGTGAAAGAAAGGAAAGCTAACAATGAAACAAGTATTGTCATGTATGGAATGATAGAGTGAAATATCCCAACTAGATTTGTAAGGATCTAGGTAACTTAGATAATCTCAAAAAAAATATTTTCTTCACATATAAATACACAATTAAATTACATTTGTTCAAATCTGACACACTTATCCGTAAATATCTAATTCAAGAGTTCAGAACTAAATTGAGCGTCAGAGTGTTTACACAGAGAACACTCGACGTTTAGCAAGTTCTCAATAACCCCTTTTTGCCATTTTGCTCAACATTAGTTTAACGTAATCATTAATGGGATATACTCTTTATTTTTAAAAATAACATAATTATAATTAATATATAGTATAATTACATAATTTTATTTGCATAGTATCCCGGTTCAACCAATCTAACTATTAATTTTAATACGTATAACACAAGAATTTGTATTTTCTAAATTCCGAAATATTCAATTTATCATCTAAACTTGAGCTACCAATAAATCCATAAGAAAAATACAATTTGCCCACAACTATCCCAAAGGGCCAGAAGAAGGGGAAAAAAAAAAATTGAAAAATACCCTCAGAAAAATCAGAACCCTTGGCTGAATCCAAAATACACACATTCACCCCCTCTGCCTTTTCACACCCTTTTCCAGGCAGCCCACACATACATACAAGTATACAACTACACTTAAAGCCAACCCCAAGCCCGATTGAGAGGTCGTCCGGCCCGGTGGGCCCACCTCCTCAACCAACCCATGTGGCCCCCACCCAAACCCTTCTCCTTATATATATACACACATTTCATTTTTTCAAATATGAACTCACAGCTCACAACACATTCCACTTGACAAACAAAAATCACACACAACAGAAAAAAATAAAAAAGAAAAGAAAAGAAAGTTCTTGCTAGTTCAACACTTGACCTTCACATTCCAAAGAACCCAGAAAAAAAATGGCTTTCTCAGCAACTCAATACTATGCAACCCCTTCAAAATTCCCCCACAACTTACCCAAAATACCACTTTCCCCCCCAAATCCCTTCACCCACCCCAAACAACCACACATCACTCTTCCCCACCACAAGCCTCTCTACATCTCCACCGCGGCCGCCCGTCTCGGAAAACCCTCCGGCGGCCCTCCGGCCCACTGCCAGGCCTACGAAGCCGGGCAGCCGGTGCCCGTCACCATCGAGCTCGACCGTGAGCGGATCAAAATCGGGCTCTACTTCGCGGCATGGTGGGCCCTCAACGTCGTCTTCAACGTCTACAACAAAAAGGTCCTCAACGCCTTCCCTTTCCCCTGGCTCACCTCCACCTTATCCCTAGCCGCCGGCTCGTTGCTCATGCTCGTCTCGTGGGCCGCCCGGCTAGCCGAGGCACCCGAAACCGACCTCGACTTTTGGAAAACTCTATTTCCTGTAAGAAAAAAATAAATAAAAAAAAAACTCTACTTTAGTTTTCTCTTTCTTCTGTCTTAACTGCGACAAATGATGTGTCGACACGTGTCCTAAGACTCGACTGTTTTTTCGTAGGTTGCGGTGGCGCATACGATCGGACACGTGGCGGCGACGGTTAGCATGTCGAAAGTCGCGGTGTCGTTCACGCACATTATCAAGAGTGGGGAGCCGGCTTTTAGTGTCTTGGTGTCGAGATTTTTGCTCGGGGAAACTTTTCCGACTTCAGTGTACCTCTCCTTGCTGCCGATAATCGGAGGTTGCGTGCTTTCTGCCGCAACCGAGCTCAATTTCAACCTCACGGGTAAAAAAAAATTGAGATATTTTTTTTAATAATTTGTATGCATATGCCATATTGAACATCATGAAAACATGGTGATATTGGTTTTTATCGGATTCTGCGCCAGGTTTCATGGGGGCAATGGTGTCGAATCTGGCGTTTGTATTCCGAAACATATTCTCGAAAAGAGGAATGAGTAAAGGGAGATCGGTGGGTGGGATGAACTACTATGCTTGCCTCTCAATGATGTCCCTTTTGATACTCACTCCTTTTGCTATAGCTGTGGAGGGACCTCAGTTGTGGGCTGTTGGCTGGCAAAAAGCAGTCTCTCAAATTGGTCCCAACTTCATATGGTCAGTTTCATCTTTTGATCACTCACAAGATTCATCTTTACATGTGCAGTACAACATTCTATAATATAAGTCTGCATCTTTTGGAAGAACGTCTGACTGACTGACTGACACACTGTGTCAGTCAGTCAGTCAGACAGGTTAACAACAACATTTCTGATTTTGAATTATTCGGTTAACTCTATAGGTGGGTCGTGGCGCAGAGTGTGTTTTACCACTTATACAACCAAGTATCATACATGTCTCTAAACGAGATATCTCCGTTGACGTTTAGCATTGGCAACACGATGAAGAGAATCTCGGTTATTGTTGCGTCTATCATTATCTTCAACACTCCTTTACAGCCGATCAATGCACTTGGTGCGGCCATTGCAATCTCTGGCACTTTCCTTTATTCTCAGGTATGGGTTTTAGCGAAAGATTCGAAAAAAAATTTAGTGAAAAGATTCGTATTTTATTAGCAATGTATCGATCGCGTGGTGAATTCTAAATTCATTTGCACTTTTTTTTTTTTTCTTTTTTTGTTTCACTTTAGGACAAGGAAAAATATGGTCTAACATGTGATGAGGGAAGAGCAACTTGTCACATGTTGTCATACTCATACATAGTTACATACCCTTTGGCCATGATAATATGCTAATATGCAATCACCGTTTTCTTGGAGATTTTTGAGAATCTAAAAATGATAGGATATGATAATATGCAATCACCGTTTTCTTGGAGTCTGTTTGTATGAACATGATCGAAATTTATTCCTTCATTAATAATTTGGGTTTTTCTTGAAACTTTTTTGCAGGCTAAGCAGTAATTCGGAGGTGCACTTTCGTATAACACGCAAAGCCTTAAGCAAATGCAGACGTTTATGTTTTGACAGTACTAACTTTATTCGACTTCCGAGTACAAATATGAAAATACGTGATATTATTCAGCTACATTTCTACAGATTTACAACATCTTGTTGGACATAGCAAATGTAATTTGCTTGTCTTATCTTGTTAGTTTTGCTGGGTTTGAAGCGATTTCTTTGTTGATTGGTTTATGGCTAATGTATATGAGTTATCAATGTTAAATTGAGAGTATTATTAGTCTTTCATATTCAGTTTTCTGTGCAATTAACACTTTATCATAAATATAATACCTGATATTCATAATTAATAGTGATACTTCCCTCAATTAAAAAATTAATATGAACATATAATCGTTATTGCTCGTTCGCAGACCTCAACTTCATCGAGTACTGAATGTGAGTACTGAATGTTAAGAACATGTCCAAACTCTATTTTTCACAAGTACATTTCTATTTAATGTAACTGTCCCATGTCTATATACAAGTTTCTATTAAAAAAAATAATCACATTATCATACACTATATGTTTCAGAATAAACGATGTAATAGATAGCTCATTCGGTGCTATACTTGCACAAAATCGACACTCAGCTGTAATATATTTGCACAGATACAACAGAAATTTGGCCATTAACGCGCAAAATATGCACTACGAAGTATGAACCCGTTTACACAAGGCTGACAAAATTAACTTTTTACGACACAGAACATTAAATAATCCGACCATTAGTTCTAACTTCTAACTAAACTAACATCATGCTTCTTCTTCTTTTTTTTTTTTTTGTTTTTAATCATAATCTAAGCATTGCAAGAATGTAAACTGATATATATGAAACATAATATAATGTGCATTAAAATATGAGTTCAAACATGTCTGAAAATGGTGAGGTGGCAAGGATAGCAGACGAGGGAGTCGACAGAATATTTGTCGGGAAAGCGTTAAAAATGAATTCTTGAGAAAAAGATCGAAAGTAAGATCAAAATGAATTCCTAATTTCTTACAAGGGAAATGTATTATAACATCTTTTAAATTTGCTTTCGCTTTTTATGTACTAATACGAAAGCCTCACATCAAAATTTCGACCCAAATGAAGGTGAACACGTGATTGTGTATGAAAAATTTTGCTCAACATATTTCACGATTTTCTCTTACTCACAAACGAAGCACGCACACCCTCAGAACACAAACCTCAGAGCCAAGAACGAAAAGCTTCGTGCGGAAAATGCAACATTGAGGTAACTATGCAATTTGACTAATTATATTCCTTTATAGCTTTCTTGATGATCTTGTCAATTTAGCTCTCTCTGTCTTTCTAAATTGCTTATTTTCTTCATATATAATTAAATCTCCTTGCTTTGATGTGAATTTTAATTGTTGATTTTAGGTGTTTATGGCTATAGTCTATAGATCTTCATATTTAAGTTAACTAAACGTTTTCTTAAAATGCATTGATTGCATGATGTTGATTATGCACAAACTATGCACCAACGTTAAGATAGCACATATCTTTTAAGTTTGAGAGTGGTAAATTTTGTGTAGAAATTTGAGGATCTTAAAGATTAATAATGATTATATATTTTGTTATAATTACACGGAAAAGTTATAGATTTTACCGTTTAATGAATTTAGTTTTAGAAACTAACCTTCGAAAGTTTTCAGTATTTGAATGCCTACAATCAGCATGGAAGTCCACCTCAAATAAATTTACATTATTTGAATTGATTATTCTCTTCATTCAATTTATTTTTGAATTAATTCTCCATATCCATTTAAATCTTTAGAATTTAAACGAATACCCCCTAAGTCTCTAATTTTGTCTCAAATAAATTCAAGGGTAGAGTAGTTTATTTTTCCTACAGCTACATCCATTGGACTCTTTTCAATAGTTGACTAATGTTGACCGAAGATCTGTTGGATTTCCGTAAAAAAAATTAATTTCTATAAAAATTTGACTTTTGAAAAAACCAACAACTCCTGTCGTTGACCAAAATTGTGCATCTGTAGCAATTGACCAAAGCTCTGATTGACTATTGAGATATAGCATGGGATTTTTATTTCTTGTAGATCTTCGATTACATACGAAATGTTACCAAATTACCAAATGTAATTAACATGTAAAACTCATACCAAATTAATTAAGATGAAATTGGGTATAAAAAACGAAAATTAATTAATATTCCTTTGTAAAAGCTCAACACATATTAAACAAGTAGCACTAGCATATCTTCGCACTAAATGTAAATTGATGTTATAGATTTTGAGAATCCTCGTTAGAGATGTCGCATTCAAATGATAGATACACTTTAAAACCCGCCTTTACCATCATAGATTTTTTCAAATTCATATTATCAAAAATCATTTAGTACGGTAGGTTATGTTTGGTAAAATTAGTTGATAAGCTAACTGATAGCTGATAAGCTATCTTATAGCTTATCAATAATTTTCGAGTTTATCGTTTATATTTTATGATTTATAGCTTAAAAACTAGTTTATATGATAAAAGTGTTTGGTAAAATTAGCTGATAAGCTAGCTGAAATAAAAATTTCAACAAGCTTATTTGAAAAGCTACTCAAAGAAGCTTATGAGATTTTTTTTTAATGCCCTAAATGGGCTGAAAAGTCACAAAGCTACAATTCCAATGTCTGATACATCAAGTCAAACGAAAAATAAAATAAAAAATAAAAAACAAAAACAACAAAAAATACAAGGAAAAGCTGACAACGAAATACAAAGACAACAGGTCCTGGTCCGGGGAGTCCCGGCAAAAAGGTCAGCATCACAGTGTGGTAGAGGTCCCAAAATGTAGGTCTGACTGTCCAAATCTGAACGATGGGTATCCAATCTGATCTATCCGTATAAGGGTGCGGAGGCGTAGAGGAATGTGGTCGGGCTGAAGAATACGTCTCTGTGTAGAGGAGGACCCTATGCCAGCAAGGTAATCAGCAGGTCGGTTCCCCTCACGGAAGATGTGTGAGATCCGATATCTAATCGATCGAAGTATGACTCTAATATGCATGAGTGAGTGCTGAATTTGCCAAGTGCCCTGATGGTAAGAGGTCAAGAGTGTGACGACAGCGGCAGCGTCCAACTCAATCCAAATATGAGACGATATCGAGGCAGCAATCTGAAGACCGATCTGGAGTGTCTGAATCTCTGCGTCATAGCTCGAGGATGCCCGAAATAGTGCATGAAAAGCGGTAATGAGGGCACCGCTGTTATCCCTAATCAGGCCCCATCCTCCAGCGACTCGAGTATGTCGGTCAAAAGCTCCGTTGGTGTTTAGCATAACCCAAGGCAACTCGGGTTTCAGCCAAACAACAGCTCTGGGTCGAGTCTGCTGGGCATGCGGCTGCGGAGGTGGTGCAAAGACGGTGGGGTGTCGTGCAGCCTGTCCAGTCTCTCTGGGTGAGTCTGCCCAAAGCAGAAAGGAGGGAGAGATGCCGATCAACCTGCAAAATAATATGGGAAAACAAAAAAGTGTTATCCCTATGCTTCGCCATTATTCATTTCTGTCCATATGGCCCAAAGGATCAAACAAGGAATAAGGAAGCCCACGTGTCTACTGTGTGCGCCGCTGTCCCTAAGCTCAAGCTTTTTAAATAAGCTTGCTTACCAAACGAATCTTATTTAAATATAGAAAGCTTATATTCTAACCAAATAAGTTATAAGCTAACTTATTTGTCTACCAAACATAGCCGTAGTGTAATTATGTAATGTATGATATGTATTCTTCCAAAAATGATTTTTATACTTAACATTAGAAATTTTTATGATATTCAAATTGATTAATGAATAATGTTTTGAAACCCAATGAGTAACCAACACGGATTATTCACCAGTTCAACCATCAGGTCATCGCGTCAATATTGAATTAGGTAATTAACTTTAAAATTTTGAAATTATATATTTATCTCTTATAAAGATAAATATACATAAAAAAAATTTTAAAAAATAATATATATAAATTTTATACCTCAAAGTCATAATAATATCTCATTATCAATATTTACCATAGAAATATATATATATCTATTGTTTTTATTTAAATTTTTTTTTCAGAAAAATATAGAATGCCTTCATTATCGGGTCCGAACAATCCACTCTTCGGGCCAGGCCTGGTCAAAAGCTATGTTATTACATCATATATATTTTGTAGTTCATTTTCCACTTCCATGAACATATTTCGAGTACTCCCCAAATTAAATAATTGGCAAAACTATACTTAATATAATTGCACCAACTAGTAATTTAGCAATAACTCATTCATTCTATTTCTCCCAAACTCAATTTGCAAATTAAATCATATTATTTGGCCTATAATTCTATATAAAGACCACTTTTTATACCATTCGTACTCAAACTTCAGTGAGCATAAAGAAACACCCTCTGTCAATAGTTCACAAAGTTATTCAGAAGCTTTTCATATTAGTAAGTCTTTTCATTGTAATATTTACTTTGTAATCATACTGTAATTTCTTAGTAAGTTTCACATATTCCCCTGTTTTATAATTCCTTCTCTCACTTTATGACCCCAACATTGTGTTGAATTCACATTTTGGCCCCTGTGATCTGTTGGAATATTTATGCTGAATTCCAAATTTGACCCAGATATGTGACAAAAATACTAATCCAGTGCTGCTTTTCCATTTTAAAAGCCACTAATAACCATCAAGATTTATGACAATAAAAAGTATTGAGAGTTCAATTTCCTGAATTTTTTTTTTCCAAAAGTTGTAATATTTTAGCATCATTTTAGTTGGAATAATATTGTTACACATTGTGTAGCAGGAAAAAAAAAAAAAAAAAAAATTGCAATATGAGCTCAAACTTGTCACAAGAAGATGAAGAACACAAGTTGGAGAAGGAGGAAATCTACAACTACGGTGGAGAAAATGCGGAGCTAAATTCGCCCGAAACTCAACTTAAAAGAAAGCGAAACCGTCGTCACACATCCGAGCAAATCCATGCAATGGAAGAGTAACATTTTTTCTTTTAAATCAAATGGAATTTTACTATGATTATGAAATTAGATGCTATTGCACGTTATACCGCTAAGCGCTCTTCATTTTTGTACTAAACGTAGCTTCTTTAAGGAGTGTCCTCACCCGGACAACAGACAAAGAACCGAACTTAGCCGAGAGCTGGGAATGGACCCGTTGCAAGTGAAATTCTGGTTCCAAAACAAACGAACTCAAACGAAGGTAAAAAAAAATATTAATCGTCCACATTTTATTCGAACGTTAATCCTCGGTCGATTGATTTTAGTATCTATTTAATGTTTTTTTCGTTTTTTTTCTTCTCTCTTTTGGTGCAGACGAAATACGAGCATCGGCAGAATAAACGCCTGAGGGCCGAAAACGAAAGGCTTAGGGCCGAAAACACGAGGTACAAAGAAGCCCTAAGCAACTCGTGGTGTGTTTCTTGTGGCGGCATGGCTGCAATCGGTGCAGTGACTCGCGAAGAATGCCATTTGAGAATGGAAAACGCGCGGCTAAGAAACGAGGTTTGCGCTTCGGTTCTTGTTCACTCTTTTGTGATAATATTAGTGGAAATGACGACTGTCGTGTCAGTTGTCACGAAATGATTTTGTCAATGTGTTTTAACCATGGATTATCTACACTACACTAATCTACATGTGTATCTAACGGCTTATAATAATCACGGAATCGGGACTGTAGTGATTCCCAGTATCAGTAGTTTTTACATATTTCGATTCTTTTTTCGACAATAGTTTTTACATATTTCGATTCTTTTTTCGACAATGTATAGATCGTATAGTGATTCCCAATATCAGTAGTTTTTACATATTTCGATTCTTTTTTCGACAATGTATAGATCGAGCGCATTTCGACAGTAGCCGCAAATTATGTCGGTAAGCCATTGATAAACTCCAGAAATACTACTCCATCTTCTCCCGTGCGAGCTACTAGCCTTGCGACGGGACTTTCTTTTCGAGGATCGACGAGCAAGGGAAACGAGAGTGTCGGAGAGGAAGCATCCGACGAGCCAAAGACAACACCGTGAAGACATTTGTCTGTTTTTTTTTTTTTTCTCTTTTCAATTTCATCATCATAATGTGTTAAGGATGAGATTGTTACATATGCCCAAGAGTGTGATGAATTGAAGTTCTTCACATTGGATTTTCTAAACTCAAAAGATGGAAAACAGAGTAAAAAAAAACTACATAAAATTGCAATTTAGAAAGGAAGGAAAATCAAACATCTTTCTTTCTTCAGTTCAGTTATGGAATAAATAACCTTACAGGCAAACACAACACAAGTCCAAACACAAACCAGAAGGACACAAATTTATGGAACAGAAACATTAGAAAATCCACATTTATTGCACTTCAAACTCCCAAACAGAAAAACACAAAGAGNAAATCGAAAAAAACCAAATAACCGAATAAAAAAACGTAAGAACATCAATTTGCCTTTTCCCATGGCAGCAGTCGAAGTAATCCCTCCTTGCACGGTCCTAAGCACGCGATCGTAATAATTTGCTCCCGACCACTTTTGATGCGCCAGCGTGTCGACACCGTGCTTTCGCTCCTCCCTTTGAATCTTCTCCACGTAAGCGAGCATCCCGCGCTCGGCAAAGTCCTTGGCGAAAGTGTCGACTATGAGGGCGTCCGCGTGGAAACCCGCGAGCGTGATGAACTGCCAGCAATAACCGAGCTTGGCGATTTTCGGAATGAAGTCCATCATTTGCTGATCTGTCATTCCGGAAGCATCCCAGTTGAAGGAAGGGGAGAGATTGTAGGCGAGCATTATGTCCGGGTAGGCCGATTTCACGCCGCGCGCGAACTCGGTGCACTCGGCGAGGTCCGGGCTCGAAGTCTCCATCCAGATGAGGTCCGCGTGAGGAGCGAAGGCCCACCCGCGGACGATTGCAGCCTGCACGGATCCCTTGAACCTGAGAGGATGGAAAATTCAACAACTCGACTATGAAGGTGTACCACACGCGCAGTTAAAGTTGAAACACGAGAGAAAATGCACAAATTAAGATAAGTAGAGGGGGTTTGGCGCAATAAACCCATAACAATATTAGTTAAGCAGAGAACCTGTAGATCTATCTACCTTCTCTTGGTCCTGGACAAGTCTCAGTCACATAACAATATAAAACACAAGGGAAAATGTGCAACTTAAAATAAAAAAACACGAGAAAACGCGCAAATTAAGATAAATACAAGGAATTTCATGCAATAAACCCATAATATTTAGTAAACAAAACAAAACAAAAAAACACAGCGCAAGTCAAAGATAATTTCACACAATAAACCCCATAATATATACTAGTTAAACGAACGAACAAATAAAAAACGCGCAAACTAAGATAAATACAGGGGAATTTCGTACCTGTAGAAACCTTCTCTGGTCCTGGGCAAGTCCCAATCCCAGAACAAATCCCGCACTCCGAGCCTCTCCGCAATCTCCCGAGCCTTCTCGTTCGGGACACACTTATCCCAGCTCGTCTCCCTCGCCCACTCCTCCTCTCTCCTCCGCCTCTCCTCCGCCCCAACCCCACCCATCCCTCTTATCTTCTCCACCACGCACTCCGAAAAAGTCTTCAGCCCCGCCGCCGCCATCCACCTGTCCTCCACCGCCTGCAGCTCCGCCCCGCCTTTCCCCGCCGCCACCGCCTCCTCCATCACCGCCGCCAGCGGCCGGCACCGGTTCGTAGCCCCCAATATAAACTGGTGGTCCCGTCCGTCGATGTTAGTCTGGATGAGATTGGCCGCCACCGCGTCCGTCCTTGCCACGAGCACCGTCTCGACCCCCATCACATCGAACTGCAGCCGGGCGGCCACGAGGCGGTTCGCGTGCTCTCCGGCGGAGACGAGCACTTTTCCGGCCATGTGGCCGCACTTCTTGGCGGCGGAGGACTGGTCCTCGATGTGGACGCCGGCGGCGCCGCGCTCAACGAAGAGCTTGCAGAGCTTGACGGTGGCGGTGGCGCCGCCGAAGCCGGTGTCTCCGTCGGCGATGATGGGGCGGAGGTAGTCGGTGGGTGGGCCGGCGCGGGAGCGGTCGGGGCGGGGGAGGGACATTCGGGCCTCGCGCTGCTTGCGGTCGTGGTAGAGCTGGGCGAAGAAGAGGTGCTCGACTTTGTTGGGAACGGTGTCGTATGGGTAATCGGCGAGATCTGGGCCGGGCTCGTTGGTGGAGGTGTGGGTGGAGGAGCACTGCCAGCCGGAGACGTAGATTGTGTCCAGGTGTTTGGCCATCATTGTCACCTGGGAAAAACCAGGGATTTTATTCGATGGGGGATAAAAAAGTAAAATTGCATAATTCCATAGGAAGTAATTTTCTGTTTTTTCCTTTTTGTTTTAGAAAAATGTTGATTTTGCTATCTTTTTTATATAGTTGTTTTACAGCATTAACCAAAAATCAATAATAATAATCTACTTCTATTTATAATAAGTGTCGTTTTGAGAAGTTACATAGCATTAAGAAATTTTATTTTATGAATAATAACCCTCATTAATAAGAATAGGGATAAATGTTTTGAAAAAAAATAAAGAGTGAATATGAAAAGACGGTATTTATTAACTAGATGAGAGTAATAATAGAAAAATATGTATAAAAGATTCAAAACGTTATTTATTTAATTTATTTAGTTAATTGTTGATAAAACCAAAATAACATTTTTTTAAAAAAAAGAAGGAGGTCGTACAATTTTATTAGAAAAAAAAGTTATCGATAAATATTTATCATAAAACTGAACTAAGTTACAATTATTGTAGAAATAAGTCATATAATCTGAAGCCAATAATGTTGTATTGTTAATTTACGAAAGATTTAAAAAAAAATATAAAACCCAAATAAATATTTAGCTGTCTTTTAGCCACATCATAATTATTAATTCTTAATTTCACAAAGAACTCTTTTAAATTATAGAACCCAAATAACTTTTTAGCTATTTTTTTTATTCTTTCTATCTCATGGTTGTTGTAACAGGTTGTAACAAACTCAACGTCCACGAATAAAAACTTGTTTGAGCACGTTCATATTCGATAAAAACTCTTTCGTTTCTTAATCGAGTCGAGTTCGAATAAAAAATTAGATTCGTTTAATAATGGAACGAACACGAGTTCGTTTGCGCACGCTTAATAATGTTCGCGGACATTAATTTAATATAATTTTATTTTTTTATATAATTACATTATATTTTAATAAAAATCTAAATATAAAATACTTCTATTATATTTTTTTATTTCAGAACAATTGTCGAGTTAATCGAATTTATTTAAAAATTTATGTCCTAAATTATTCAACCACGAACGAACTCAAACTTTGATGAACAATTAAATGAACGAGCTCGAACACGATTTTTTGTTCGAAAAAATAAACAGATGAACACGAATAGTGAATAGTGTTGGAACATAAACGAACACGAGGTCAAAACGCCCAAGCTCGACTCGTTCGGTTCGATTACAACACTAGTTGTACAGTAAACAAACACGAGCTCAAAACGCTCAAGCTCGGCTCGTTCGATTCGATTACAACATTAATTAGTTGTACAGTACTAACAAAAAATCAATAATAACATAATTAAAAAAAAATCCTATAAATAATAAAAGTTAAATTAAGTTATAATTATAGAAGAAATAACTCGTAATTCGAAGCCACAAAAGTAATGATGTTTTATTATTATCAATTCCCCAAATAATTTATTTAATTTTTATTAAATCACATAACCATAAAATTAGTCACCTGGACTGGATCGAGTGATCCGAACGTCCGGGAGGCGGTGCCCCGAGCCTGATGGGTCTTTAGGGTTCGCCAGAGCTTCTTCGCCATCTCGTTAGAGGCATAGCTCTGCCGGAGAGTTCCCCGGAGGGCCACCACATCCCTGGCGGAGTAAGGGCGGCGGGTTAGCCGGAATCGCTCGGAGTTCCACCACGCCTGCACCTCGGCCACCTCAGCTTCGAATCGACTTTCTTCCTCCATTATCTGTATGTATATTATTACAATATGATTAAGGTTAATGAAGTAGGAATAATTTGATGAATAAGGAAGGAATATTGTTAGTTATTACCATGGAAGGGACTGAGAAAGATGATGCAGGAGCCATGGGGAGAGGTTGGGGATAATGAATTTGAGAAGAAAAAATGTTTTTTTTTTCTTTTTTTCTTTTTTGATTTACAAATTGATGTGTTTGAAAAATGTGGATGGAGGTGAAGGGGAGGGAGTGAATTTATAGAAGTTTTGGAGGGGATAAGAGCCGGTTCGAATAAGATAAGAATGAGAAATTAAATTTAAAACCCATTTTTTTTGCAAATTGTGTATGTTAGAAAATAAAGTTAGTTTTGGGAAAATAAGTTAATATTAATATTGAAAATCATGTGTCAATGTTTTCGTAATTTTTAAATATCATACTCTCACACAAAGGCATATTATTATTAACTTGTGTCCATTATATGATCGATTGATTTTTTGCATTTGAGGTAAGTAAACATAATGATCATGTTACTGTAAATATAAGAGGTGACATAATGCATATGAAATTAAGATTTTATAGTTTTATTCATCAGGTCAACTCTAAAATCAACAATTTATACTCTATTGTTTATGTCATTCAATTTATCAAAAACATTATATTTACGTAACTTTATCATAGAAATAATTGCATGGAGATAGGGATTTCAACTTAGAAACAGAAAACATATTTATTGTAAAGTAAAAGTTGTTTCAAATTTAATTTAGTTTAGTGCAGTTCTAATTTATATATTCCGTAATGACAAATGTACATGGAGTACTTAATTACCTACACGTCATTTATCCTCAGACAGTCAGACCACTATGTTTAATTTTTATTTATAAAAAGTAAAAAACACAAATGAAATCTGTAAATCAAACATGAGTGGTGAATGTCAAATGAACATGCTATAAATGAATTGGATATTATTTGGAGTTGTGCTGTTATCGCGAGCTTGTTCAATTGTCATTCTGCTTTACTATTTTATTTAAATTATTTGAGTATCTCTCAAAAATAATAATAATAATACATATTTCAAAAAATGATATCATATATAATTGTTTAGTCTTATCTATATCGCCACGAGTATTTCGCGGTGTCATACGTAGGCAGCTGACTGGCGGTGGAAAGGAGCATTTACTCTTATAGATTAAACATTAATAATACCATAAATTCAAAATAAAAACAATATAATGATACTACTGCTAATAACAATAATGAATATGCTCAATCAGAAGAGTGTCCAATTTTGTGATATCATTAGGGTTCTCAAAGTAAAAATTTCAGTTATTTGCATAATTTATCCAACATTGAAATTGTAACCAACCTTGTGAAGGCATGAATATGAAGCTTCTTAAATGTTATATTCAATGTATATAATATATATATATAGGTTGAAAATGAGAGAAATTTGTTTCCTAATTGATCTGTAAGATTGAAATGTATATAATATATAGGTTGAAAATGAGAAATTTGTTTCCTAATTGATCTGTATATCTTAAAGAGAAATTTTATAGTTTCCATTGAAATTTTCAAAAAATAAAAATAAAAACAAGTTAAACGAAAATATTTTGTTTTTAAGACCTTTCGACTACGATTACGGTTGAATTTTTACAGTTCTAATATCGGTTAATTAACTTGTAGAAAAAATTGTATGTTTCAATTGAAAATATTAAAAATTTAAAAATAATATAACATTGGTTATATTTATTGATATTTAGGTTGAATATTTTCATCGTTGAATTTTTTCTCGGATTTTGATCATTAATCTTGGTGCCGAAGATCTCTTTGAAATTAAACCTCCATATGAAAAATAAAAAGTAAATCATAAAAAAAATGTTCGTGGGACAAAAATGGAGTCAAAATTTGCAGGCTCAGCTCTGATCCATAAAGTGGCCATAAATTAGGAGATTAGTTCCCAAGGAGCTTCTGATTTGCAAAGATCAAAATAGCCAATGTGTTTGCATGAACACTGTGATCCATTCCTTAAACGGCATCGTTTAATTTACTATGTGTCCATCTTCTTCTTTACACACGTAAAGGTATCCCATATTAGGTGTCAACACGTAAATACCCTAAAGCTCTAAAGCTGTGAACCTCTTATTGGAAGATTTTTGTTTTTTTAATCCCAGAAAAGTTCGAACGTATTAGATATAGTCGGAGAAGGGCGGACATATTAGAAAAATAATTATTTAAAATTGGGTTTGTTTCAAATTTGATTGATTTTTGTATGGTTAAATATTTAATTAGGGTTAAATAAATTGTGTAAAAAAATATTATATTTCGAGTAATACTCATGGTATATTTATTTGTTGAAAATGATTTGGAAGAGTGAGAAATAACTTATTAAATTTAGATATTAATGGACACGTTAAAAGTTGGTAGTGAGTTTTGAAATGTCAAGATTTCTATCTCACATTGGACTCTTAAATGGAGATAAGAATCTTGAAGCGACCACAACAACTTTAAAATTATGCACTTGGTGGCTAGGCCACACGTGTGTGTGCCTTGCCGGCGGGCTCAGAGAGAGTGTGGGTTTTGGCCTTGGACGATTTTGGTCGGTTTTGGGCTTGGTCCTTGGTTACAATTCTTATAATCTTTTTACTGTAAATCTGTTTGTAAAATTGTAGGTTAAAATAAAATTCAAACTGAATTGGTTTGGATAGCGGTTTTGATTCAACTCGTGTGGACTTCTTCAAATACAATGTAAGTCAGAAAAGCATCACCATCATACATATTATGTTCATTACTCAACTTTGTTCAAGGTCACCGAAGCTCGGAAGTTTGAAAGTGCTACAACTTCTGAGACGTAACCACTATATCTTTGAAGACGAGACACCTGAATCCGTCAGCTTATTAATTACGGGGCGTATTCATCATCTTGTGGAAAGAGCAACTCTTAACTCGGCTTATTTGTTTTCCGCTTTAAGTCTATTTAATTTTCAGTTTTTGTTTATGTTGTAAGAACTGAAATGATCAATTTTCAGTTCAGTCGATTTTTCGTTGTAATTCAACATAAATTAATAACAGGTCTTCTTAGGTGACGTGCACTTTAAGATGGCGAGTTTAATTGTCACATTATTTGTACATAATCAATATGTGACTATTCATAAGTGATAACCCAAGACGTCCCTTCACTTGTGAGTCTTCATAGAGTTAGGCTTATAACAGGTTTGTAAGATCAAATCACCTCAGGTCCTCCAGTACTATATTAGATACATTTGGTGGATCAAATTATCGCATGTTCTATATTAAGCTCGCTCCGACTAACTCAGACCCACTCTCATACCATATTAAATATCAGGCCAACTCGATGTCATATTAAATTTATGTAGTCAGAGAAAGGGTGTAGTCCTACAAACGAATAGAACCTTATGAGAGGTTAGTTGCCAATGAGGCTTCATTTCTAAATCAATTGGTAATTGGATAAGTAGTCGATTAGACTTATAAAACTCATTTGTCACATGAATATGAGACAATTCACAAGTGTAATTCCAACACACACAAAATAATATGGTGAGTCGTCGTTAGGTTGAAATTCAATTGAATAGCAACTTTGGTTGAATTTCGGTATTGTAATTAGCGAAACCATATTATAAATTATTTATAAATTAATACAAGCATGACGTCTGATGGTATACTCATGCATTTTTGTTCAATTAGTATAAGTTCATGTAACTACTGAACTGACTCATACAAGAATTTATGTGTTCTACCGTTGGTTACATTGAAATTGTACATTATTAAATTTGACCGTCACTTCACTTAACTCGAGAGATATAAAAGATTATTTTTTTAAGGAGGGACATAATATAAAGATAGATGCTAATAAATTAATAATTGAGATATGATTATCAACCTAAAACCTCATATCCATTGCAAACAAAGGTACAAGTTTCCTCTTATTTCATAAATAGAACCAACCGGTGACATTTTTACAAGTGATTCATGAATCGATGTATTGATATATATTTTTTAAAAAAATATTTCAAAGTATATGTTAATATATTGTTTATAACTAAATGTAGATGACTGATGACTCTATGAATCATATCATCTTGTAGCTACATATCGAAACTGTATTATATTTGTCATTTTGAAACTAGTTCTCATGTGGGTGGAATCCAATTATTGTTTTCAGTCAATTAGTTGCAGGTTGGAGCACAATTGCTAAATTAAATAGTCTCATAATTTTTTGTTTGACAAAAAATAGTTTGTAACCTAAAGACATGCTGTAGGAAGCTGAATGGGATCTCTACAGTGAGCTCTTCAAAATACCTGGGTCTCCCACTGGGACTTGGAAGATCAAAAAAAGACACATTTCTTTTTGTTAATGAGTATGTGACTCAGAGAATTAAAAGCTGGAAAAATTGTTACTTAAGTGAGGCAGGTAGAGAAGTGTTAATTAAATCTGTTATAGAGGCATTACCTACATATGTGATGTCATGTTTCAAATTGCCCAGTAGTGTCTGTGAGGATATTTGTAGGTCTGTCTCTAATTTTTGGTGGGGTAAAAGTGACTCAGGGAGGAATAAAATGCATTGGTGTGATTGGGCCTTTCTTTCAAAATCCAAGGTTAAAGGGGGGATGGGTTTTAAAAACTTCAAGGCTTATAATGAGGCTCTTATAGTTAAACAATTATGGAGACTCATCACTAAGCCTAATCTACTAGTCAGTAGGGTTCTAAAGGGCAAGTATTTTTGGGGGAAGAGTCCTTTTGATGTTAAGGCCAAGAGTGGGGACTCCTGGCTCTGGAAGAGTTGGCTTTATGCTAGAAAGTCATTAACATTGGGTGCCAGATTCCAAGTAGGTGATGGGAAATCCATTAGGATTTGGGACTCACATTGGCTCCCTATATCCACTGGATTCACATCTACTTGTCATTATCCATTTGATGCTAATAATCTCACCTGGGTTAGAGATTTGATGAGTGCAGATGGCACCTGCTGGGACATTGATCTGGTCAAGCAATCCTTTTCTCCATTTGAGGCTGAAAAAATCCTGGACATCCACATAAGCTGCAGAGGAATGAAGGATAAACTCATTTGGCATTGGCACCCTAAAGGCCAACTTACAGTCAAAGGAGTTTATAACTCAATCCTACAATTTACTGAT